TGGGTTGGGGTCGAGGGATGACGGGATGGGAGGATGGAGTGGATTTTTCAATTTGCCAGCAAATCAGAGATGATTGGAATACTCTCTCGTGCACCGATACACACACTCACCCTGACACAAACACAATGCCATACATACAACACACAACCATCTCCACGGAGAAGACCTCATGCTAAAAACCAGAGAGGGGGAAAAAGAAACGGGCAGAACATTTGCTAAAAACCCTGAATGGTTCCCACATATAGGAATGTAGGTTAAAATGTAATCGGCAATAAAGCTCTGTGTTTCTTTCTGGTGGTAAATCAGTTATGTGTGTGTGAGAGAAGCAGAGATCAGGAGGAGGAAATGTGAACGAGTGGGAGGAAAGTGAAGGAGACGAAGAGAAAGAAAGCTTGTACAATGATGGCCACTCGACTCAGTAGCAGTGAGCTGTAGAAACTCACTCGACCAATATGTGACCGATAGGTGATCAATCCTCCTGCCAGCAGCAAACAATCAATCCTCCGATCTCTGTCAGACCTTCCAACAATGTTGCACTGGAACCAACACGATTTGATATTTAACATGCTGCCATAACCTAATGTTCAAACTGCTACTGAACATGTACAATGTGTTGTGCTACTGTCAGTAACAAATGTCATGTTTTCAACTGCAGCTGAAGCATCGTTGCCTCAACACAACTACGAAATGGACGATTCATCCGTGTTTGGAGGAAAGACTGAATATAAAAAATATACAACATGATGGTTTTACAAATGTAAGGCTCACCCCCTGGTGGCTGACTGCAATATAGGTCATAAACCCTGCCTCCTCCATGTTAGTGGATGGGAGATGGGCAAAACCATCATTTTAGCTAGTTCACATCACACTGGTGTTTGTTGTGTTAATTGTTTAGGTGGAGTTTGGTTTTATTTAGTTAATTTATGATGATACAAACTGGGTGAAACATCATGATTGACAGCTGAGACTGACTGGCTCCATCCTCTGAAAACTACTGCACAGACTTTGGCTCCAAAGGACGTCATCAGCGCAAGATGACAGCATTCTTATATGGGATATTTTGGCTTCACAGTTTTAGCTTCCCTCGGAAATTTCTGGTATTCTATTCTAAACTCCTGTATGACATTTCTGATTGATAGATGAAAATGAACAATAAGATCAATAGGAAAACAGCCAGTCATTGTTCGCTATATTGGCAGAAAAACACTCAATACGATGTTGACATGCTTATTTTCTTCTGACTGTCTTTAATTGCTTCCCTTATTATTGATGAGATAAGCAGAGTCAACCTTAAAGACGTGAAGTACTATGGTCCACTTCTACAATACACATCAATAATGGCCGGTCTGGAGGGAGCATAGATATGGAGTCTGAAGATATAACTTAGGTCAGGAGGTTACAAGGCCTGTAACAATCAATACACCCTGACCCCTGGAGACCACTGAGGTATGGCTGCAGTTACACGAGTCTGCAGGAAACCAATACCTCAAGTAGTGGAGTAGTAGAGTGGTGCTCAAACAAAATAAACAGAAATTCAAACTAATGTGCACCTACAGGATATAGTTCGCTCTTTCCAATACTTTTTCTGCATCCAGACAAGGTCCATCCATCAATCATCTATACTGCTTTCCTTTTGAGAGGGCTAGAGCCAATCCCAGCTGACATTGGGTATGAGATGGGGAAATGGGCTGAATAGAGACAAACAATCATTCACTGTAACATTTGCACCTATGCTCAATTAAGGGTCTTTGGACTGGACCAGAGTTCCTGCAGAAAACATGCACAAACAGGGAGAACAAGCAAACTTCGCTGGGAGGGGACAGCGCTAACCACTCCAGCACCGTGCCGCCCACCCAGATGAGGTCACGTAAATAAAAAGGACAAAGAAGACACACTCAGATTGATGAAGCCACTTGTCAGGAGAGACTACCTGCCTTGTGGGAAAAATTTTTTTACTCCATTTTAAGTTAAGAGACATTTGTTATCCAAAAGTCAAATTAACCATTTATGAAGCCGATCTGTTGGTCTAATCAAAATTCCTCAAGACCACGCAACTTTTAAACTGAGGCACAATTGGAAAAAATAAACCATTCAAATAAATTAGAATATTCAAAAGTTGCAGGATATTGGGTCATTAGATTGATATACAACCACCTAATTGCCAAAAACTTGTCGTACTGTGAGCCAAAGCGAGGCGAGCCAACTGCACAGTATCAAATCACAAGCCAAAGAAATGAAGGAAAAAAGTATTTAGGACACCAGATTATTAGGTTTATCTTTCATCCTAGCGAAAGAAAACACATTTCAGCTGGTTGTTACGAGGGTTTGTGGTGGAAATTTTTTCAACACAGGCTCTTTTTTGGTAGATTTAGTATCAGCGGGTAAGCAAATACTACAGGATACCGTGGTTTTCAGATTGCGGTAATGATATAAAACATTTGTCCAAACATAAGAAGCAGCGTCGCTCGGGTTGCAGTCGATGTTTTGGCTGCGGGCTGTCATTCAGCTTCTGGACGGGAGGCTGCAGGGTCAAACAGAGGTTTTGAGAGCAGAGCTGCGGTGAATGCCGATCAACTATCAGAGCACTGCCAACATGAGCCTGGAGTGAGGTTATGGGCATGGGCAGAACCAATCCAGGAAAACCCAGCAAGGAAATTTACATAGTGGTTTGCATTCTGCTGCCAAGTGCGAGCTACGATACTGACGGGAGTGGATGAACATTTCATAATTCTGACAGACGTCAAAACTGTGGACCGCAGTTCATGTTCAGCCTGTGACACCAGTATTAACATGATGAATATAATAGTTTATAACAATTTATGATCTGATGAAGTTTTCTCTCTGATACTTCACAGCCGTAGAATACAGAGTGAAATTCTAATTACATTAAGGCTTTTTCTGTTTTTTAATCATCCAACTGTTTTTACTGAGTATCAACTTTAATTGGTGAGGAGGGTAAACTACCATGAGGGTTTGCTAGACCTAAAAGCCAAAAAGAACATAGGAGTTACAGTTACAATGACTAGCATAAAGAATTGATGAATAATAGTGGAACAAATCATATGTACCTTGTGCTCTTTCCCAAAATCGTTCACTCTAATGTGTCCACAGAGACAGTGTCAGTCAGATTTAGGAGTTCCTCATGTGGTTTCTGGTTTCTGCAGGTTTCAACAAGTTAAATTTAAGACTTTTTGAGACCTTAAAGGTTCAGTGTGTAGAATTCAGAGATATCTAGTGTTGAAGTTGCATGTTGCAGCTGAACACCCCTCACCTCACCCTCTCCTTCCAAACATGAAAAAGAACCTGTGGTAGCTTCAGTTGTCATGAAAACTCAAAAGGTGTTTAGTTTGTCCAGTCTGGACTAATGTAAAAAACAAGGACCCCCTCGATGTAAATATAAAGTATTTGAATATCAAGGGCCTTTTCTAGGGTAAAGAAAACAACAATTCATACAATTTAGATGAAATAAAAACATCATGAGGATTATTCTACATTAAATTTCTGTCAATAGTTTCCATTCACCTAAATCTTACACACTGGACCTTTAACAAATTCAATTTAAGACCCATGTCAAGTGTTACCGATGGGAAGGGATATCAGAGTCCTACAATAAACTTACCTTCCCATAATTGAGGATAAGCTGACTAGAGAATGAGTGGAGAAAAACCAGTGGAGAATAATCCTTAAAATGCAACTATATCTTGCAAACTACAGACAGAGACGGTCGGAATCCATAATCATTCCCACAGCCAAGCTGAGCAATCTCTGATCAGTTCCATGTTGGGCTTGGTGGAAGTTTTACTTCAGCGTGCTAATATCTATACTGTTGAGATAAAACTACACCCGGAGACATTACAAACTAGAGGGGCACTCAGGAGACTGCATTCCTCCACCAAGGCCCAATAGTCCTCTTAAGAAAACATTTCAATTCTCTAGATCCAGATTTGTATTTGGCTCTGCACCAAATTACACACACTCATTAATATCATTTTCCAAAATATGCCAGGTTTTTTCATCAAGATCCATTCATTATTTCCTGAGAAATCAATGAAAATGTTGAAAAATGCTTCCAATGGTAAAGGAAGTTAAGAAAAAGAGCATGGAGCCACCCCTGATCGTTTTCTTGGTAATCTGTCCAGTTGCTTTTGTGTAATGGGTCCACACAGGCAGCTCCTCCTGAAGACCTCAAACTATAAAGTCCCTGAGCTACACTCTGGGACCCATTTACAGACTTCAAATCACAGCCTTCCTCTCTGTGACACAAACATTCTCATCTTTTTGTCTGGATAGCTCCAGCACAGTGGTGCTCAGCAGGGGGCTCAAGAATCCCTAAACATGCCCCGAGTCCCACAGAAAAAAAGAGAGAAGTCACTACCAATTATATTGTGATGATTCCTCCCACACTGCTCTACTACAGAGGTAACTTTTTACATCCAGAGAGACACAGATGATCATCTTCTGTGCTCTGGGACATCTTGGGATGAATTAAAGGTTTCTTCATCCAAACTCAGAGGCAGAAAAACCAAAACACTCCTGATGACAACATCAAGAAATCAGGTCCGAGAAATTTCCAGTCTATTGCTGTGTTCACTGTATTTTACATGTAAGACTATATATTAATTCTGAGTGTCGGGAGGATTTTAACATTGATTTAAAACAATGCCCTATCTTTCACTCACTCACTATATCATTCAGCCATTTCATTATGCCTCCTTCCTTCAGGCTATTCATTAATTTCACATCAATATTCAGATAACAAAAAAAACTAATTTAAATGATTCTTTCAATGATAGTTTTAATTTATATTCTAAAAAATGCAAATCAACGTCCACACAGATATTATAGAGGAAAAAATACCTCCAGTCTGAACATTGCACTGCATAAAGCAACAGGTTTCACTGGCGTCATACCAAACACACACACACACACACACACACACACACACACACACACACACACACACACACACACACACACACACACACACGTCTCGTACTCACCCTCTCCAGGTCTTGTCGTAGGTGTGTAAAGAGTTTGAGGCGTCTGTAGAGGACGTCCTGCTCCTGCTGGGCCAGGTTGTCCACCTCGTCCCTCTTTAAGGTCACCAGAGGTCGATTAAAGTTGGCCTTCCTTTTTAACTTCCAGAACTGATACAGGAAATCCACCTTAAAGAACAAAATAATCCCAGTTAGCAAGTATCAATGTCCGAAATCTCTAAATCCAGACGGATTACTTGATGTGCATATAACACTGAAACTAGGTATAGCGTAGTGTGAGCTGAGATTGACTCATTTAAAATATGATAAACTGAACATTGAAAATAATACATAAAGAAAAGAAATATGCTATTCAGACATATGAAGCCCTGGATTTTGTTTATGATTATCTTATTGCACTTTTTTCTGTTTTACTATCACTATTATTACTATAATGTGTATTTATGTTATTACATGTTACACAAATACTGATCATAAGACCTTTAAATCAGGTATTGTCAAATCAGGGAAGGTTCACCAGAAGATTAAATAATTTTTTGGTTTAACGTACCTGTGCGACAGGCATTCCCAGGTTCTCAGCCACCTCCCTTGGGTCCACCAGTTGGTAGAACTCATCTTCCAGCTCCTGCAGCTTCTGTTTCCTCTGGCTCACTTTCTCTCTCTCCAGCTGGTCCCGCTCTGCTCGCTCCGCTGCCGACACAGAAACCGAAACAGGGAACAACACTGACCTCTGCTCCAGGTCACTGCTGCCGTTTGGTTGGTGCGGCTGTTCTGGCCGGAGCTCAGAACCGATGCCGGCGGTGGCCCAGTCTGTTCTGGCTGTGCCATGTGTTCCGTTAGTGGTGGAAATGGTGGTGTTGTGGTTGCTGTTGTTCACGCTGGTTGAAGTAGAGCAGTTGCTTGTTGGTGCACTGCTGTTGCTGGCAGTGCAGCTGTGCTCCAGGCAGAAGGACTTGAAGCGCACCTCGTCGTTCTCGGCCAGGATGGTCCTCATCTCCAGGCCATGGTCAAAGGCGCACGTCACATGGAAGGCCACAATACAGGAGGGCATGGAGCACTACAAAGAGGAGGCAGAGAGGAAATACAATTAATGACAGAAACAATATATGAGAGGAAATATGGGAACGAAAAGGAGGAACCGCACATATCACAAGTGCAAAAATGGCAAGAAGCTCGATGATGTACCACAGCAGCATGGCAAGAAGGCAGTGTGACGTTCTGCACATATCACCCACAAACAACGTAGGTACAGTGTTCCTAGCCTAATACTGTGCCTGAAGTACAGATACACACACAACAGACTGAAGCTGGATTAGACTGAAGTAGCGCGAAACCCTCCCAAATGTACAGCACACATAGCAGAGACACACACACACACTTTCCCTCCATTACTGTCACTTTGTCACAAGTATTTGTCTGAAGTGTCATTTTCGGTCCATTTCCTGTGTTATCGAGGCTCCAATACGAGTGCAGCAAAGCAGAGAGACAAGCCAAGTCACAACAAACACGGTTCCCCCATTTCTGCTGACATTTCACTGACTTGGGATGTGTGTGTGTGTGTGTATGTGTGTGTGTGTGTGCGTGAGACAACTATCCATTGCAGGTCATACCAAGAGGTGACCTCCCACTGAGTCCCTCCAGGCATGGTGTGATTTTGTGTGTGTGTCTGGCGAGTACATGCACATTTGTAAAAGTATGTGTGTATGTGTGTGTGTGTGTGTTTGTGTGTGTGTGCGCACTGCACTCTCCCCTATGTTGTTGATTAGCATTGTAACAAAAACCTGTGTTACATTTTTACAGCCAAACTTTCCTTCTATTTTCTGTCTCTCCCTTTCTCGTCTAAACTGATTTCTGCAACTTCAATACTTCAATTCTTTAACAACTTATATTTAGCAGCTCCTTTGATAACAGTAAAGCCATTTAAACTCCAGCAAATATGTTTTAATAATGCTTGAAAGAAGTAAAACTTGCATTGAAAAATCAAGGCTTTTAGTATATTTAGCAAAAAGATAGTGAAAAGCGTTGGAGGTGATACACTAATCAATCAATGAAGAATCTAATTTACTCTGACTATTGTTTGGCCGAATTCAAGAACTTAAACTGACATGATTTGAGACATTTATATATATAAAAAAAATAAAATAAAATCTTTTTATCTTGTCAAGTGGAAATCCTGATGAATCATGGATTTAAAGTCTTGACAGCTGAGATGTATCAGTGCAGATATCCACATGGTTTTGGTGAAAATGTGATGATCCTTGGATGGAGACAGAGCTTGACAGCTTAGGGATATTCATGATTTTGGCTGCTATATTTTAATTCTTCATTTTAAAACCTGTGATTCTCATGCTCATCAGCAGGAATCTACAAGGTGGTAATAGCTCTATTTACATTTTCAAAACTCTTTTTCTTCAGACTTGTCTGAAAGTCCTTTCATGCTAAACTTAGTGGGGTAAAGAGAAATGTACAATGTAAGGATTCGAATACAAAAACATCCAGTTTCCTCCTTTTCATATCTGCTTCCACTCTGTATGGGAGAGTTTGAGATTAAATGAATGCAGCTCTACATTGAAGCTTCTTTGTTAAAGGTCCAGTGTGTCAGATTTAGGTGAAAGGGAACTATTGGCAGAAATTTAATGTAGAATAATTCTTATGATATTTTCACTAGTTTGTTTAATTTAAAATTGTGTGAATTGTAGTTTTCTTTACCCCAGAAAAGCTCCTTTATATTTAAATACTTTATATTTACATCGAGGGGACCCTCTCTACGGAGGCCGCCATGTTTTTTACATTAGTCCAGACTGGACAAACTAAAACCTTTTGAGTTTTTATGACAAATAAAGGCTACCACAGGTTATTTTTCATGTTTGGAAGGAGAGGGTGAGGTGAGGGGTGTTCGGCTGCAAAATGAAATTTTCAACACTAGATATCACTGAATAAATGTACCTTTAAGTATTTGGAGCCACTCATGTTTTCATGGCTGCACCGTGTAAATCGGTTTGGTATCTTCTGTAGCTATAGTTTTTAGTTTTTACTACATAATGACCCTCTGTATGTCATAACTGAGGGTATTTAAATCCAACGGGCTGCCATGTTCATCTGAGTTCCGTGAAAAAGACAAATTAAGCATGAAGTTGAAGTATTTTCTTAATTAGCAGAGCGTGTCACACTATCACTGAAGACTTCTGCACACAGACCGTCTCTGTATGAGCTTTAACAGACGCAGTACAGGTTTGACTGGCTGACCTTTACAGTGCACCGTCCTTTAATAAGGCACTAATCAAGAGCCTCATTACACATGAAGAACTCGCCAATTAATCCGGTGCATCATCAAATACAAATATTTAGTTCTGAGCATTTCACTGATTATGGAAGGAACAGGCTGCACTTGAAAACTGGCATGACAGCGTGTCATTAGTTTGTTATTACCGAATGATTACGTGACCAAAGTAAAGGAGCAGCTGGTGTTACACTACTAAAAACTCACAAAATCAAAACGTCAAACCGACTGTACATTAAAAAGAGTCACGAAAAACTGTATGTTGTTACAGATGCGTAAGAGTGAAACCAATAATACACCTTATTCAAGTTTAGTCTATAATATGTGGACTGCATGCTCAAAAAATCCACATGCCACAACTTGAGTATAAAAAAACTAGTACTGAGAAAGTAGTTGTCCAACTGTTATGTCATGCCTCTACCTACATTAAGAACTGCCTACCTTCTGTGAGGTGGCAGTTATAAGTGTCTTTGTTCGAATCAGAACGATTAAACGCATGTAGATATATTTGTACAAACTTTTATATACATCAAGCATACAGTGTATATTCCGAACGTGTATACACATACACACACACGTACACACACAGATGGAATGTAGGAATTAAGAAAATCCAGGTCACCTCGAGGGGACTGTTAACGCTGAATGGTGTTCGGGCTAATAACTGTAAAGTGGGTTAGCTTTAGTATGTCAGCGGGGGTTTTGTTTGTGTACTCAGCAGCATGTTAAAGAAGTGCTGCTTTGAAACAGATCCGCCCACACACAGCAAGAAGATGAGAACTATGATGATGTGTGTTGCTGAGAAACATCATGTGCATGTGTGTGAGTTTGTGGGTGTGCCTGTAAGGCTTCATTTCAGAACATATATCCCATCTTCCTGTGTGTAAGGATGAGTGGGTTGGAAATTTCATGTCAATCTAAAAGTTCAACTTAGATACTGAACTTCACATACAGTTAAAAAAACTGATTGATATTCTTCAAAATCTTTTATGCCACTGTCCACGATGTACAGCATGCATGCATGTGGCACAAGGTTTGGACAAAGATGTTTGTGGAAAAAAGAAAACGAAGAAAAGAAAATATGTGGAGGAGTGAGGTGAAGTGAGTGTCCGTCTGGCGTGCAGGTGTGAAGCTACCCCCCTTAATTCATGACAGAGCTTCAGTCTGAAAGTGGATCACTGTTTTTTTAATATTTTAAGACACTAGGGGTCAGTTAATAACACTTAATGAGGCAAAGCAGATGCAGGGATGTGTGTGTGTGTGTGTGTGTGTGTGTGTGTGTGTGTGTGTGTGTGTGTGTGTGTGTGTGTGTGTGTGAGAGTGAGAGACGTACCTGTATGCAGGTTCCTGTGTGTTCTCGGCACAGGCTGCAGGACAGGGCCCAGCGGCTAGCGGGGATGTGGGACACCTTGGTAATGGGCTCCATCTTCTCTGGACAGCCTATACTCACCTATAGGGAACATAAAGGAGACATAAATAGATCTGATACGAAAAAAGTATTTTTCAATATAACATCTTCAAATCCCCATAAATGAAAACTGAATTCACTTTAACATCTAATCATGTTTCGGTGCGTTCACCTTTTTACTTGCAGAATTCAATTGCCTACGACAAAATTGTAATGAGTATTTTAATGATTCCTACCAATTATAATGGCAGAATTTTAGTTGTGAACAAATAGTTGACTTATCAAGCCCCTGCCACATTAGACTAGGTCATGTGATTGTGTAGTTAAGTATTTTTCTGCTCCAGCTCGGATCAGCAGTGATGGAAACATGACACCTGAGTAGACGTGCTGATGCTAATATTTGACCCTTTGCTGGCGTGATGCTTTGACACGTCACAGAGGTAATGGTGGTTTGTTGCCTCTGTGAATAACTTTAGCGCTTCTATTCCACCTGAGCAAAACAATTCTTTACCACTACAACATAGTAGCATAACAAATAGGAAACTAAAAAACTCATTACTAGTCTCTTAGCAGGTTGAACTGTGTTTACAAAACTGAATGTATGGACTCATTTCGGTAGAAAATAAAAACATTTTCAAATATTTTTAGTTGTATATCATTTTAGACTGTTGATCCAACACAACAATAACCTTATTAGGGGCTTTCCCACCTACACTGTTTGGTCTGGAACTTAACCAACCAAAATTGAATCCGACTAAAACAGATGGTCTCAGTCCGGATCAAACTGAACCATTGATCGGTTAATTTGCAGTGAGAGAACTTCGCCTCTGACGACAAAGTATTTGAACAATGAGGATGTAAATTTTGTCAATATTTAAGTGGCAACAAAATGTATGAAGTGGTGAACAGGTTCATTCTTTTTTCTCCATCCTGTAGGTAGACACAGCCCACACAGTGCAACACCATGACTACATCTTTGGATTAGCATCAGATTCCATTTGACAAAAAGTTAACCTTCTACTGAAAGATAATAATCATCTTGTTGTGGATGATTTTTACTTGACTGTGTTCCACTTACAGCGCCAGGATTCTGGAGAAGCCTGTGTGTGATTGGAAGCAGAGCAGGAGCACATGTGCTCTTAAGACGTGATTGTGAAGCCCAGTGAGTGACTCACTCTCTCTGAGAAGTCTATTCACCGAGATTTTGGCTCAGAACCTCGCTGCACCAAATACAACCAAAAAGTCACTGACCTGTGCCAACCAGCCATGCAGAATAGAGTGAAGAGCACTCATCACCAAAGTGCCATTTCTCTCCTTCCTTCCTCCTCTTTCCATTAACCATTCCTCCTCTTTCTCATTCACTCATCCTCACACTGTATTTGTGCCATGGCCCTCTCTTCCTTGTCCTTCACACTTGAATTAACAAGCTGACGACTGATTTCCACAGGTCGCACCCCTCCCTCTCCAAGTCCACTTGTCGTTCTATTGGATTTTTATTTTCCTCCTCTTGTCTTCTCATCCACAGAACAAGCTCACAGCCCTGGTGCTTTCTGTTATTATTGATGTCTTATGTGCAGCACACTGAACAGAGGCAGGGGTCAATTTTCACTCCACTGAAGATGTCAATAGAAAATACAATACAGACAATGATGCCACCGTCTATGTTCACTTTACTTTAACGACTGATGTAAGAACAGATAGATGGTAAAAAGGACTCCTGGTGTTTGAATGGTGTAGTTAATTGATTGGACTGTGACCATGATGACCACACACACACACACACACACACACACATTGATTGACCTTTATACAATCAAAAATAAGGACTACAGATTTTCATGTGGGAGGAGTGTGTGTAAGCACATGCCTTGGATATGATCATTCCACAAACAACTGGGCACAATTAGTTCACATTTCCAATTTGAAATTACAAGCTTCTTTTCCACAGTCTCTTCAAGGTGGAAATGTTGCAGCTTTTTTTCTCCCTCAACATTCCATACAACCGTTCCAACATGAAATGTTGTTCCGCTTTTATGCAGCAGTGGTCATCTACAGATTTTTGCAAAAGCGAAAGCTGGAAGGATGGGACAGGAAACCAATGATGCTGTGTTAAACGTCACACTTCTCTTAAGTCACACATGCTCGCAGCAATATGCCATCTTGTTCAGTTCAGTGCGAAGACAGCATAAAGAGGGGCTCTCGTTAACAGCAATATAGTGAGAGCTCTGCATGGAAAAGAAGCTTCAGTGTTCAACCAAAAGTCATTTTGAAAGAGGGGCCTAGTGAAAAATCATTTAAAGAGAAACCCATCTCGAGGGGCTGAAGGCAGAGGGCAAAGGGAAGCTACACACAAGGCGCAGCAGGGGGGCTGTTTCGTTTGAAGGCTGGGTGGTGTGTTCACACACACACACTCAATGAATGACGCACACTCTTTTCTGGAAAATCTCAACTGAAATGTGTGTGTGTGGTTTCATTTGTGCACATGTCTGCTTTTTAGTTCATGCAAGCACACATATCCGAGCATATGGAGGGACACACACTAACTCACATGCACACGCAGCACAGACATGCAAATGATCTTTTTTACCTCAGTGGGCGGAAGAGAAAACAAAAGCGAACTGAGCAATGAAAACAATTAGCCCAATCAAGGGTGACAGAAGGCAATTAGAAGTAAAAGGTTCGAGGTGCCAAAAGCCTCTCCATTACTGAGAAATCTGCTGGTGGAGCGCGCGGCTGAAAAGGCTGAAGACACATGACTGACAGTCTTTAACGATTTAAAGGTGCGCAAGGTGTGAAGCCACATCCCTGACACAAAACGGCTGCTTTGTGACCATTTGGTGCTTTCAGAGAAAAGTCAAGGTATCACTGAGACACCTGAGGTCTAAATGAAGAGCTGCTTGTGTGCACGCCTGAAAAGGTTTCCTCTTGAATCAATTGACATTATCTACAGTCGGTTAAATGTGAAGTCTGGAGTGAAGAAGCTGCATGAAGAATATTTGAAGGACTTAATGTAAACAAAGACCTAAACCTGGCGAATAGAGAAAAACTATACAGTGGCACCTTTGCAGTGTGATTCCACCAAAAAGGCTCTTTATGCCTTTATGTACTAAACGAGGTACGTCTGTTTCAAACGATTAAACGATTTGTTTCTATGGCAACTTGTATGAAATCTGATGTGCTTGTGCTGTTTTTCAGTCTGAAATGTGTCCAATGAAAATACTATTGCAGTGGATTTTGGACAGATTGTATGTGTTGCAGGAAGTGAGCTTAAAAAACTATTGGCGTGGCTATTTCAATCAATTCAGTGGTTGATAGTCAAACTTTGTAACTGTGTAGTTAAATATAAAATTGAATTTCATGAATTTCGATATTTTGCTGAAGAAAAAACCCAACTAAGTTGAATTAATGTGGAAGGACTCATTATTACATACATTAATATTCATTGGTTTGTATGTGTGTGATCTTAAAGATATAGTTTTTGTCCAAATATTGCTCCACAAAACCGGGCAGCCAAATACCAACAAAATCTGCTCCCATGCTTTTCCATATATTGAACACAAGGTGACAGAGTCCATACATGAAACAGAATTACAGACACAAAAACAGAAATTGTGTAAAAACGTGGCACAACTGTCACTGACCACATACTTCTATGTGTCAGATTTGTTAGCATAGTTGTCAAGCAATATGTCCACTAGAGGGCAGCGCAGAGTCAGGAGTTTCTGACAACAACAAAGATGGTGACAGCGGGGAAGGTTGTGATAATGTACCTCTTAAGAAAGAGGCAAAATTGGCCACATTGTAAAAGGCGGTTGTACAACTTAATGGCAACGTTGCCATTGTTGACATCTCCGCTTCACGTCTTATGGTTGTTTAGCTTGAACTATTGGCGACGCTGCCCCCTAGGATTTCTGGTGGTATGTCTCTTTTTTGTCTGTTCCGTCAGTATCCCTGAGTTTTCATAAGATGTGCACAAAGATGGACGAAGTTTGGACAGAAGGCTCCATTGAGAGTTTAAGACTTGACACAGACTTCTTACTACCTCTAACCTACCTGTAGATTTTAGAAAACAACACAACACCAGTTGGAATGTAAAATGCAGTATTAAGACACATAGAAACCTTAAATCCTCCCCAGTTATTTTCTTTGTACACCATGTCAATACTGATGCTTAATTCAATGTGGTGATTACACATTGATCTGACAATCCTGAGTGGAAACACACTGTCTTGTTATAAATGCTGTTGACTTTCCATTGACTCTTTAACTCAGCACAAATGTTTTCCATCAACCCTCAAAGGAAAAGTGCATGAATCCATTACATGCACAAAGCACAACACAGTTTATTTACTCTCATGTTTACATGCTTACAGGATGTTTGCCAAGCTAAGTATTCATCCATCGATGAAGCCGCAATCTTTGTCATCATGGCGGAGATCTGCCCTGCTGTGATATTCCTGCTACATCCTCAATAAGTAGAGATTTTTATTCTCTCTTTAGCCTCATAAAGATCTAAGAAAAGATTCAGGTCTTCAGAGAATCATGAGGGCAGAGTTGCGGCACGTTTCTGTCTTGAAAATGGTGGGAAAGAAAACTGCCCCTGAAAGAGTGTGTGCACAGCGAGGCTAAGCATATTCAGAGATGGATGTAGTTTTGTTTGAGGAAGAGAAAAAGGTAAAGTGAAGTAGAAGTCAAAATAAGCAGAGTGAGTGTGTGTGTGTGTGTGTGTGTGTGTGTGTGTGCATCTCAGGTCCTTTCAGATGGTTTTGTTTTCCAAGAGTGAATTGTTTACATACATGTTTTTACACACACAGAGCACCTTTTTTTTTTTTTTTTTGCCATGACATGTTTATGTATTTGCTGACTCACCGGCCACTGAGCGGATGTGGGATGGATGGATTTTTGCAGCGATGACTGCAGCTGTTTGCACTCATGCAGATTAAACAACAGAGCCTTCTGCACCAACATTAAACAGTCATATTTTAGGGAGGAGGCAGAGATACAGATTTAGTTTCCATCAACAGTGGCATTAAGTGCTGCCATGAGTTGTCTTAATTCCCAAGTATGTGACTGAGAAACCGAGGTTCCTCTACAGCTGAATAATGACACTTTGAGCTACTGATGCTCCCACTGGCCCTGCTTCGATCGAAAGCTTCAACTTTGGCACCGACTATGGGAAATGTGCCTGAAAGGGAAACTGGAGCAGTGTATTCCTAAATAAATCCTAGAATGGATCATGAAACCAATGTTGATTACCAACTGATTGCACAAGATCATCCCCATTAGACTGTGTTTGGATCTTGTGTTTTCCCGTGGGTCTCACCTCAGGGATCCATAAGGCACAGCTGACGTGGACCCACTTGGTTCCACTGCGGGTGGGCTTGAGGGCCCCCCCTCTCTTGGGGCAGAGCAGACATTTGGGCTGGACACCCAGAGCGCAGGTCCGACACAGCCAGTTCCCCTGGGGTACCTTAAGGATGCCATAACATGCCTGGGATGGGAAGAGAGAGGCCGAGAGAGGAAGAGTTCATTGTTGCACTCTACACATACTGGCAGTCACATTTTATTTCCTTTGGTCGGAGCCAGACTTGCTGTTTCATAACTTTATGCTGTTGCTTCATAATAACATATTGACACGTGGAATTGATCTTCTGATGTAACCAATTGCAAGAATGCCAATAAGTGATTTTTTTTAAATGTCAAATTATTCCTTATACATAGTTTGTACAATAAGATATTGTCATAACAAATACAGCTCAATATTATAAGCTGAATACACTCAATCTAAAATAGTGGTGATCATTCATGAAGGCAGTGATTCACTTCATTTCAGTACACTTGAAAATAAACTTGCAGTAATCAGACATTTACTTTAAATCCAATAGTGTCAATATTTACTGTGGTCTCCTGTTTTATTTAAGTTTTTTATTTGGTTAAAATTATGTTAGCAATATAAAGTGACTGAAATGAAAATCTGGAAGATCAAGAAATTAAATCCAGTCAAATTCACAATTGACACATGCAAAAACATCCTTCCTTGTTCCTGGTTCACTTTTGCCAAATCTTATCCTCTTGAAACTTTTCTTCCAACCAGAATGGCATAAACCTACGGAAGCGAGACGTTATCAAAACGCCTCTCGGTGTTGTTTTAAATAACGCAGCAGGTTATTGTATCATCTGCACTCAACCCATTTCCCCTTTCACTGATAATAACGTCCAGTCCCTCAGGATCAGAAACAGAGATGATTTTGTTGTCGGATATGATTTAATCCTAAAGTGTCTGAAAGTGCCTCTTCTGTGGCGAGTATGTCATTCTACAAGCTCCTTGTATTCAATCACGATTTCACAGAGGGAAGGACGTCACGTGTTTTACAGCTGAGGAGCTAGAACACACGATCAGATACAGGAACATAAAAAAGTTAAGCAGGGAAAAACCCAGACTGGTGTCATGGTGACAGGAGCACCGTCCTCATCAAACACCGTTAAAGCTTTTTATCGATCAAAGTATTGTATTTATCAAACACAGCACTTCAGTCAGTGAGGCTTGTTTTTTTTTCCTGCTAAAGGTTAAGGAGACCAAGAGGCAGCGCTGGGTGTGTGTTATCTACAAAGATAATAATGTTACTTAGTAGGAGCGACAATTAATCTCACTGCTCTTTACAATCTCATCCATAGTTACCTCTTCTTTCCACACTATAAAAAATTAACCGTGGTCAAGGGCTCCCTTAGTGTTTCTGAATTTGATAGATAAATGCATTTATGTGAAAAGAAACATGTTGACTCATAAAAAGACAGAATCCAATCTGTTTCAATACAGTCAGTATGTGGTTAACTAAAGAGCTACACAATAAGAACTATCTTTTAATCATGCGTTTGATGCTCTTAATAATTACTCAAACAAAACACATTTTCGGCAAACTTGAGACTTAGTCTATTTCTGCCTGATCACACTTAAAGGTGGGCTAGTGCCAATGTGACAGACAGAATGATTAACACTCTGTCACTGTAATAAACACAGCAGAGCTCCCTGAAGCCTCAGGTTGTCACAGGCACCATTTGTGAGATTGTTACTGTAAGTATTTTTCCTGTCGGTAACAAGTGAAGCTGTGGGAGGGAGAGAAAAGTCAGGTAATATAAAGCAGCTCTGGAGAAAACAGCTGAACCTCGTCTTTGACCTTGATTTTGTACTTTTATATTTACGATTTCAGCACTTTTAGCATTTCCTCTTAAAGTGAGACTCTTCTTCTATCAAAGTTTTTTTAAGAAACAGTAATAAAATACAGTAAGGACAAACGAATGCCTGATACCTGATGCACGCAGACATTGCACTTGTCGCAGAAGACCATCTCGTTGCCGTCCTCTCCCTCCGGCGAGCGGCAGACGTCGCACACCACGTCCTCGTCGTACTCGATGCCCAGCCCTTCCTCGGTTTCGATGGCCTGCTGCATTTTCTCCGCGCACGCGCTCTCTAGCTCCACCAGCACACACTCCATCGTCAGCTCGTCCAGCTCGGGTAAGGCTGGAGGGAAGTAGACAGGAAGTAGAAGCTGGTTATGTTTATTCGATAATTCCTTGAAAGTAATCTAGAAGAGTGAAAACAATCGTCGTGTCTCTGGTGAGGCTGGGATGAAGGAGGCTGATTCGAGGAGATGTTAAGTGGACTGATATTTATGAGTGTGTGCAATTTGGTGCAGATCCAAATAAAAATCTGGGTCTAGTGAATTGAAATGTGGTCCCATAAGGGATCTGTTGGGCCTTGGCTGAGGTATCTGCTCTGAGTGCGATTGTAGTGGCTTGTGAGACGCACATTTTCTTCAGTGAGATTAATATTTGAGAAAATACTGAGCCTGTACAAAGGTTTTACAATCACGAGATTGAGTTCCAGGTTTCACACTCAGGTTTCTTTGACTTCTACTATCGACAAGAACAACAGTAATAGGAAGCTGCTCATAGGAAACTCTAAATTCCAGTTATTTTAGAAACACCCAAATTGGAATGCACACACGCTTTCCTTTGCATTTACACCTCACAAGGTCACTTTCTGTTTCTGTTGAGCCTGTTCAGGATGAAATGTGCTGAAAATTTACTGCAGCACGTGGGAGGATGTGGATTTTCAGTCGACAAAAATCAGATGCATGCTTCACGTTCCTCTTCCCTAAAGGTCCATTTGCTATCAAAGTCAAAAACGGTTATATTTGCTGTCGTGCCCTTCTTGCCCACAGCTCACTTCACCGTGCCAGTGTGTGTGTCGGCATTAGAATTAGAATTAGTATTCCTGCGCCGTCTGCATCTCAAAGTAATGCCACGCTGCAAGGCTGGTTAATAGTTGATGAAAAGTGATTTAACTGGCAAATGTGAAATTTCATACTTGTAAAAAGAGAAAGAAAGTGAAGAACCAGGAATATGTTGTTATTATGTGCCTGAACCCTTCATAGAGCGATGAAGAAACTTCTGCTGTCCTGGATTCTGTCAATTATTATTTATAGATTTAGTTGAGGGTTTGTTTTTTGTAAGCGGAGCTGAGCATCCTGTGTGTCTGTTATTTATGCCCCTCCATTCCTTACTAACCAAACAGAAAAGCAAATAAAAAATGTATCCACTGATTCTTGAGCGTGTTATTGCCAACAACAACTTTGCGATTCCACACCTTGAAGTCTGAACCAGGCTTCATGTCTTTGTTTAACTGTTCACATTTGATCTTGTCAGTTTTCTGTTTGGAATTTAAGGAGCAGACTTTTGTGTGACATGTACAGTACGTCCTGTTGTCATCACCTCATGGGATGAATCTAAAGTTTGGAGATGGGCGTGTGTCTGATCTCAACATGTTCCGCAGGTAGTATTTCGTTGCCACTTTAATATGATTATGGTATTACTACGAGCATCGCCAACTTCAGTTGCAGTTCTGAATGAACTTCCCCAGTGTTCAAAATGTACAAGCATTCCTGTGAGCTGCTTCAACTTCTTTTTCTTCCTCTATTGGTTCATGCCGCCTCCACTTTCTGCAATTAATGTGAAAGTCTGATTTATCTGAGTTTGAGTTCTTTTGGTCCGTCGGTCTGGACCATGGTCTGAGGCACCTTTCTCAACCTTTGGTTTAACGTAATAGCATTATATTGGAAAAACATACATTTTGATATGAGAGTTAAAACCTGCTGCTGAGACTGAGCTTGTGAATTGTCCTGTTACTCTTGAACTTGCGACACGTTCATATCAGTGAAAAACTCAAAGAAACAAACTATGTGACTGTAGTTGTTTTGGAGTTAGAAGCTGCTTTGTGAAACCAGCAGAGAAAAGAAAAGCAGAGTTAGATATTAACCTGCTGTGACATTTACATTGGGAAGTGAATCACTCACAGGAGCGAGCGAAGCAACATTATTCACAGATAACGTGAGAGTGTGTGTGAAGTGTGTGTATGTGTGTATGTAGTTCATGTAGAGTAAACTGTGTGTACTTTCACATAATTTACTGTATATCTATCCTCTGTGTATTTCTTCATGTTAGTACTTGTGATGGTTGTGTGCACATGCAAATACAAGCTTAAAAGTGTGGGTGTATCCAGGTTCATGTCTGCACTTATCCATTTGAGTCTAAGGTAAGAGAGCATCTGACAAGAGTGCAAGCATGCACAAACATTTTTTCTTGCTATTGTGTGTATATTGTGTGTTTGTTATTTGATTCTACACAATGTCCATGCCTTCTGTGCCTTTGTGCACTTTTCTGATTTCATTTAACCATTTTTACTGAATGCGTCTAAATGCCTAATCAGCATTTCGTGTCACAGTAATGGACCAGTTTCTGTAAAAACTCTGTCTCCTCTAAGCTGAATATCTCAAAATCAAATTAATTTCACATTTAAACCCAACTGAAAAAAAAGTGTTCGGATAATTAAAGTTACAGCACGTCTAGTATGAACACTCCCATTCTATCATGGGTCCAGAGCCTTACAGCTTCACCCTGCAGAAGCATTCAACAATCTGTTGTTTGTTCGCTCTAGCACTAAAGGTTATGAGAAACAACCTGTGTGAGTGTGTGTGTGTGTGTGTGTGTGTGTGTGTGTGTGTGTGTGTGTGTGTGTGTGTGTGTGTGTGTGTGAGACTGATGTTTTAAGGGGCATGTGTCCCAGGAATAAGGCCTGAAACCCCAGCAGGGATTTATAAACACAATTACTTCGCTTTATCTGAGAGGAGCCGATCAGATATTGAATAAAGTGGTGGAGATGGGAGAGATGCTCAGGGTCGGCAGTTGTCACCATGGCAAAATAAGAGGCAAAGCGACGCAGAGGAGAGAGAAAGTATAGAAGGACAGCAACAGAGAAAGCAGATAGTTACAAATAAGGACATGATTGAGAAACAAGCGCAAGGACAAGGTAAGATTTGTTGGTGCAATACAAATATTCAAAGAATATTCAGAAGTGGGTTTTTTCTGTGACTGAGAGAATTTTAACGAAGGGCATATTGAATTAAGGTTTGAAAAAACAGCTCACAACCACATATAAGCTAAAACGAACCAATTGTAAAATAACACAGTCTCAAATACACATCATGTGCTGCTTTCATTCCTCTGGGAGCCTTTGATATAAAATGATGGTAATTGAGGTCACTTCATACGAACTTAATTCTTATCAACAATTTTTTTAACAAAGAAAAAATAAACTTCAGTTTCTTTAAGATAAAATATTTCTTCTCTCTTCTTAATACAGCATGTTTCTATTTTATACAAATGTTTATCCTTCAAGCACATGTAGTTCTGGAAACATGAAGTGGCCAAATCTTGAACACACTTAGATCAATCCCTTCAACATGTCTGATATTTTCATCTCGATCCATGCATTTGGGAAATAGGTGAAAAGATCCAATAAAGCCATATCTCAATGATCTGCCCCTTGATCCGCATCTGAACCAAGGTATGGTTTCTTCCGTGATGCAAACCGCATCTCTCCCCCTCCTCCGTACTAACTCTCTCTCTTCTCTCCCCTCTTTTCCACCTATCTCTTCTCCCCATTTGTCTCTGCTCACCCCAACCGGTCGAGGCAGATGACCGCCCACATTGAGCCTGGTTCTACACGTTTCTCCCTGCTAATGAGTTTTTTCTCTTCACAGTCGCCAAAGTGCTGCTCATTGTGGGAACTGTTGGGTTTCTCTATATTAATCAGATTTTAAGGTCTTGACCTTCTATGTAAAGTGCCTTGAGATAATGTATATTATGATTTGGCGCTATACAAATAAAATTGAATTGAATTGAATCTTTTGTGGGAAGTGAAATTATTTCTTTTAATTCTCAAAATCCTGCAGTAAGTCTATTTGCACTCACCCATCTGTCTAAACTCTTGGTTGACCAGCTCCAGCCAGGCGACGTCCAGATCGTCCAGGTCATAGCAGCTGTAGAGCTGAGTGGGAGGCGTCTGAGTGTCTCCATCCCCCTCCTGTCCGTCGCCACTTGTCGACTCCCGCGGCGACCTGCATCAAACACAGAGGTACAAACAGAAAGTTTCATCATGTGGTCTGGAAGCACAATATCAACACTTCATCTCGAGGGAGTCGTTGAAATGATGTTTAAATGTGAACCAAATATTTACCAATAAACCCCCCCCCTTTGTTTCAGTCTTTACGATAATTCACTCACTTTCAAATCCTTATATTATATAATTTCACATACACAATGATGGTCCCATTTTCCAAATGTGCATGCACTGCTCATGACAACAGAAATGACTGGGACTGAACCTCCTTATGTCAGGAGCTCTGTCTAACAGTCATGTCCTGACCTCAAGGTCCAGAGAGACTGAATCAAGCTCTGATGTGTGTCACACACAAAAAGAAAGAGAAAAAAAGAGAAGCTATCGAAACAATGACAAATCAAGTGGTTGTAGGCAGCAGTGAAAGGAAGTTCCTCCAGGCAGCGTCTGGTCTCTAGGGCCTCGAGCCTGAATGTCTCTCTATCAACAACAGCAGGAAACAGGGTCAGGAACCGTGCTCAACCCAAAGAGAGCCAATAAAGACTCACACACACACACACACACACACACACACACGTCTCTGACTTCGGAGGACTTTACAATGACTGAACCATAGTTACTACTTACCTAACTTAACCTTAACCTTAACCTAAAGCTACCCTAAACCTAACTTTAACCTAATCTTAGAACATGTCTTCACCTTGATGATTGATTTACTCTATGGGCAGAGCAATATCTGGACAACACACAAACACACGCTCTAACACAAAACACACTGCACATACTCACTCACTGACTCACACTCTCACACACACACACACACACCCCTATTATTCACACACTTGCCGGGTATACTCATGACCTTTGTGTGAAAAGGTGAGGCGCGTCAGTGATCACAACAACAACAAAATAATACAACCTTTCGCTCCCGTCTTCGCCGCCTCATTATCATAGCGCTCAGTTATTACCATCATCCTCAGTCACTCTCACATCAAGGAGCAGTGTGATCATCATCCTCCTCCTCCTCATTATCATTA